GCCGACCCCCAAGAGCCCTGGGCAGGCGGGGCCCGCGGCCGGGGAAAGAGGCTGCGGCAGCGAGCCCCAAGACCCGGTGCGCGCGGGGCCCCCACACCCGCGGGCGGCGTCCCCACCCGCTGGGGTACCTGGCGGGTTCCGAACACTTCCTGGGTCTCAGTGTCTCCGGTCAAATGTGCCCTGCTGTGAAGGGGAGCGTGCGCCTTTGAGGAGGAGGACGCTCCCCTTTTACTTGCCCCAGGGCTCCGGTTTTCCTCCCTTGGCACCCCAGGCTGGGCGAGCGGGCCGGGCGGCCGCGGGCTCCAGGCCCCGAGGTACGCCGGCCACTCGTTATGCCCTTGCCTTGCAGTGCGCGTCCCGCGACGACTGGAGCAGTGCTCGCTCCATGCACGAATTCTCAGCTAAGGACATCGACGGGCGCATGGTTAACCTGGACAAGTACCGGTGGGTACCTGCCCACTTGGCGGAGGGAGCAGGGGGAAGGTCGCGGCCATGACCTGACCGCCTCGTCCTGCCTCCAGGGGCTACGTGTGTATCATCACCAATGTGGCCTCGCAATGAGGCAAGACAGAGGTAAACTACACTCAGCTGGTCGACCTGCACGCCCGATTCGCTGAGCGTGGTTTACGGATCCTGGCCTTCCCTTGCAACCAGTTCGGGAAGCAGGTGCGTCATGGCTGGCCCTCGATGTCCCTGTGTGTCCCCGTGTGCGGGCGTAGGGAGAGGGACTCTCTGTGGAAGCGGGAGCCAAAGGGGTACAGGCTCCTCCCTACTCACCCCAGCACCCCTCTCTGCACAGGAGCCAGGGAGTAACGCCGAGATCAAAGAGTTCGCTGCTGGCTATAACGTCAAATTCGACATGTTCAGCAAGATCTGTGTGAATGGGGATGATGCCCACCCACTGTGGAAGTGGATGAAAGTCCAGCCCAAGGGGAAGGGCATGCTGGGAAAGTGAGTTGGGGGCCGGGGCGGCGGCATCAGGATGGCTCCCCAGGGGCAATGGGGGGTCTGCAGCTGCCACGGGATTCCTCACGATCTCACGCTTCTTTTCTAGTGCCATCAAATGGAACTTCACCAAGGTAAGGCATGCTGGGGGCCTGGGGGACGGGGACAGCCCCAGCCACAGCTGGGCTGCTTCGAGGGTCCCTGGCCCTGACCTAAATGGGGCGGTGCATGGGGACTGCTGGCTCGCCCCAGCCCCACGGTGGCCTCGGGTCCTGACACGGCCTCCCCTGCAGTTCCTCATTGACAAGAACGGCTGTGTGGTGAAGCGGTACGGTCCCATGGAAGAGCCCCTGGTAGGTGTCTGTTGGGGAGCCTGCCCGGGAGGGCCCTGGGAAGAGGCACCCCTGACCCCCTTTCCCCCGCAGGTGATAGAGAAGGACCTACCGTGCTACCTCTAGCTCCACAAGTGTGCTCCCCCGACCCGAGCCTGCCGCCTGTGCCCCTCGGAGCCTTCCACCCGGCGTCCATGATGGTCTGCCTGAAAACCAGCCCCTGGTGGGGCAGACCCGAGAACCTGGCGTGCACCCCTGCCGGAGGAAGGTTCCTCGGCCCGGCTCACGGCTCGGCAACCCCACCCCCTGCTGCCTTGTGGGAATAAAACACACAATACAAATTGACTTGCTTGTTGCTTTTGCTTACTTGGGGGGTGGGGGGTGTTTTGTCCCAGGCCCCTCTGGGCTCAGGTGCAGGTGTAGTCAGCTCCCCAGGCTAGGGTGGGGGGAATGTGGGAGGTGGAATTCCCTCGGGGTTCAGAGGGCTGCACCCGCCCTGCTGCCCCAGCTGCTAATCTCAGCCCAGCCAGGGCAGAGCTGATCCTGGCGGAGATGCTGCCTCCTGACTGGCCTGCTGCTCTAGGCCCGCCGGGGGCCTCGGTCTCCTCCAGTGTACCCAGGTGGGAGGGTCAGGCGACCTGGGCCTTGTGGGCCTGCCTACTGGAGGCCCACTGCACCTGAGCTGGGCGTCGGGCCTAGCTGGGCACCAAGCCCGCCTCGCGGTGAGGATGCGGAGTCTGCACCAGGCCTGCCCATGGGCTTCACCTGGCAGAGGGAGCTCCCCCAGGAGGGCTGGTGGGCACAGCCTGCCTGCCTGCAGCTCAGGAGAGCCATCCTGGTGAGAGTTGGGGGGAGCACAGCTGTAGAGTGGCTGAGCCCCTCTACCAGGGCCTGCTTCTACTAGGGCCTCCCAACTCCCGTCCACCAGTCCACCTCCTGGCTGGGGGCAGCCTCCTCCCACTTCCGGGCCAGAGGCCGGGCATGCGCCCCACAGCTTCCAGGAAGGGCCTGGCGTCCAGTCCTGCCTTCCCGACTGAGCCCAGCTCTTGGGCTCTCCTGTCCCCAGGCTGCCCCGCCTGCCTCAACCAACAAACACCCCGAGGAAGACCTGGAAAGAAACCAAGGCAGAGCCCGCAGTCCTGAACACGGACCTCTGAACAACGGGCCCAGGCGGCTCACATCTTGGTGGGCAGGAGGCAGCAGTGTCTGCTCCAAGACGCCCGGGGCCTGGTACGGCCAGTTCAGAGGCAGCTGGCCTGCTATCCTGGTGCCAGGACCATGCAGTGGACAAACAGCCTCTTGGGGCGGGTGTCTCCCCAAGCCTGGCCCCGGTCATCCAGAAAGCCAGGCGCTGTGGGCGGGATGAGGCAGCAGAGGGAGCGCCAGCAGCCTCCCCAGACCACCGTACGCCCCCTCCCCGCCGTCCCTGCAGGCCAGAGCAGCAGACAGCCTGGGAAGTAGTGAAAAGGCACATATATTTAAAAAAGATCTCTTTACATATATACACTTGAATTCATTATAAATACACATAGAAACCAGGGGGCCACCCACCAGCTCCGCAGGAGATTCCAGGCCCTGGGAGAGGTGGCTGGGCAATAATTTAGGGCACACAGAGCAGGGAGGGGGGTTGCATATATTAATAGAAGATCTGCCCCACGGAGCCCCCCAGAGGCGGTGGGGCCCTGAGCACCTGGGGTTTCCTGAGTTTCCAGCTCTTGGGGCCACCCAGTTTTGTGGATGTCAGGGATCCAGGTCTGACTGGGCCTGGTAAGGTGGGTGGGGTGGGAGCCCCAACCCTGGCCTGGAAGGGGGCAGCAGAGGACAGAGGCACAGAGGAGGCCCCCCACCCCCAGGCCCTGCCTGGCCCCTGAGTGTCCTGAGTGGGGCCTGCGCATGGCCACTGCCCACCAGGCAGGGCTTGGAGGGCACCCCCAGGACCGGCAGCATCTCGAGGGTCTGCCCAGGCACCGGTGGGAAGGCACTGCAGTGGAGGCCTCGGGAGGCCGGACGAAGGGCCCCTGGCCCCGCCTGCTCCTCTCAGTAGTCCGCAGGGCTGTTGGCCCTGCTCACCACCCGCTTCCCCCGGTGTAGACAGGGCGCCTATCATAGATAAATAAGTTTCGTGCGGGAAGGATGCCCCGGGGCCTAGGAGTTGGGGAAGTGGGGGCTGAACTGGATGACACTCTGCCGCTCGTGGCCCCCGCTGCCCTCCGGCGCACCTGCTGCCCCCCCGCCGGCGCCCAGCAGGCCGGGGGGCTCAGGGGGCGGCGCGGCATTGAGTGAGCGCAGCATATCCTCCAGCACCTCCTTGAAGTTGATGTCGCAACCCTGGTGCAGGAGCGCCGCGGGGTCAGCCGGGGCGTCGGGGGCACCCAGCAGCAGGCCGCCGGGGCCGGGGGCTGGGGCCGGGAAGACGAAGGGCGAGGGCGGCGGGAAGGCCTGGGCCGGCGGACTGTACGTGAGGTCCAGGACCTCGCCGGGGCCGCAGGGCAGCGTGAGCGGGCGTGGGGCGGGCGGCAGCGCGGGGAGACCCCGGGCACGCGCCTGCTTGCGCTTCACATCGGCGTCCATGAGCTGCAGCTCCTGCAGGACGCGGCGCACGCAGGCCTCGGGGATCTTGATGCCTGCGGGGTGGGGACAGGGCCGGCGGTCAGGGCCCGAGGGGCGGGGCGCCCCCTCCCAGCGGAACACCCCCCTCCCCCACCCCGCCTACGCCCACCGCTCACCAACTTGTTTCTTCTTGTCCTTGGTCTTGAGGCGCACGATCTGCAGGTAGCTGCTGCTAGTGACGTCGGCCATGACGGCGGCGATGCGGCCCCACACGCGCAGCAGGGCCCCGCACAGCATGTAGTGGTGTCGCAGCCTCAGGCCCTGCGCGCAGTCCTTGCCCTCCTGCACCAGCCGGCAGTGCCGATTCCTGCACGGGGACCAGGGCTCAGACCAGCTGCGGCACAGGCGTGGGCGAGCCCCCCCCAACACCTCCCCGCACTCCCCCCAGGCTGCCCTGGGCCCTCACCACGTGGTGTGGCTGCAGTGAGTCAGCGAGAAGGTGTAGCTGCTCTCCCAGTGTTCTCTGGCCTCCTCCGCTGTCACCTGTGGACACAGCCGGTTGAGCCCCAGGACTGCGGCCTGTCCATGCTCCCCAGCGCGTAGGCGGGGAACAGGAGGTCTGAAAGCCCCAGGCCCGTTCATCCTGCACCTGGCGGCCAGGTCAGCGGAGCATGGAGGTGGAGGGCCAGCCTGGTGGCTGCAGAAGACAGGCGCGCCAGGGGCACAGTGGGGGCGCACTGCGGGGCCGTCGGGGCCTACCCGGTGGAACCTCCGGCACAGGCTGTCTAAGGTCTCCAGCTGGCTCTGCCGCCCGATGTTGGGCTTGTACACGGTGAAGAGCTTGCCGCGGTTCTGCTGGGCCAGCAGGCAGCTGGGCTTGTTGCCGCGGACCTGGGTGGGGGCGTGCGTGAGGCTGGGGCTATGCCGCACGTTCTGGGCAGGAGTCCCCACGGTGTGCGGGCCCGCGCAGGCCGCCGCCCTCCCCTCCCAGCCCACCGGCCAGGGTCCTGCCCGTGGGGGTGCGCCGGGGGGCTTGCTGGGGGGCCCACCTTGTAGGAGAGGTAGAAGCCGTCGTGTGTGCCCATCAGCTCCAGCGACCGGGCATAGGCCTCCTCCCACTTCAGGCCGCGGTCCACGCTGATCTGCGGGCACGCGGGCATCAGGGGGGGTGGGGGTGAGGGGAGGGGGCGGGGCGGGCGGATGCAGCCGCTCACCTTGTAGAAGACCACCTGCCCATCCTGCGGGTGCCCGGGGGCCAGGAACACCTGCTGGCTCTCCTCGTAGATCTCGTCAATGCCGGGGGCCAGGTCTGGGGAGGGCAAGCGGGGTCAGCGGCCGGACTGGGGTCCCGGGCCCAGGGGGGGAAGGGCATCCCCAGCGGGGCTCACCCAGGATGCCCATGTCGTATTTGCCCTCCTTCTTGTCGGCGGCGATGAGGTGGTCGAAGGGAAGAGCGTGTTCTGCTTGTGCACCTCCAGGCCCAGGATGCGGTTGAGGAACTTGCTGATGGAGCAGTCTGCTGGTGACAGGGGACCTCAGGCTGCGTCCGGCCGGCCCTCCCTGTCCACCCACCCGGTAGGTGCAGGGCCGGGGGCGTGGGACTCACCCTTCTCCACGTCCAGGCAGCCGGACCGGGACTCGCGCCCGCCGATGCCGACGGACAGCAGCCCCTGCTTCATGTCTGTGGGGAGGGAGAGCCTCGCACACCTGCCCGCCCCAGCCCACGGGGGCTCCCCCTCATCACCCGTGTCCCCCTGGGGTGTGTGGGGAGCGTCCACCAGCTCACCACGGAAGAAGGCGGCGTCCCCTCCAGGGTAGCCCTGGGGCAGCGGCACCTTGCTCTCTGTCTGGCTTAGGATGGTGGTAAGGACGCAGCTGAGCGCCCGGGCGCCGTACTGTGGGGAGGGGTGAGGGCCGCGGGCCGCGTCAGAGGCTGCGGCACCCCAGGTCTCGGGGTCCTGGCATCCTGAGGACCCTCCTCTCCTGGGCTCCCCCACCTCGGGTACCTTGTTCTCAAAGTTGTACTTGCTCAGGTCACGGGACTCGGTGGCTCGGCGGTCCCCGTGGGTCAGAGCCCCCTGCCCGGGATAGGGGAAGCGATCACACGTTGCCCACGTGGTGCTCCTCCCTGCGCCCTCCGCCCTCCCCAGGGAGCCTCCCCGCCCGGCCACCCACCCAGCCCCCCCTCCGCCCACAGGCTCACCAGACTCTCCAGCCTCTTGGCCACGATGGAGGCAAACCTGCGCTCTCCGGCCAGCTCCGAGATGAGGAAGATGTACTCGGGTGCGGAGACCTGGTTGGAGCGGTGGGTCCGGCCTGGAGGCAGAGAGGGCTTTTAGGGACCAGGCAGGCCCCGGGTGGGGCAGCCTGGGGCGGGGGCGGGGCTCACCAAACTGCTGGATGGCCCGGTCGGCGCTCCAGGGCAGCTCCAGCGTCATATGCACCCGGCGCCGCTGGTTCGGGACCCGGCGGTCGGCTTGGAGGGAGATGCCAGAGCTGGAGGCCTCTGAGATGATAGCCACGAGCTAGAGGGACGTGGACGGGGACAGGTCTGTGGGGCGGCAGGGCAGGCAGCC